TAGCCACTCCAGTATCTTTGTCAAGAAAATCCCAAATGGGGTCAGGAAGAGTTGGAACGACTGAATAACATCAGTAACAGTGGAGAGAACCCAGCTTTACAGATTTCCAGTACCAGTGATAGTTTATTCCATTCTATGGTGTGCCATGAATTTAACACTGAATGAGTAAGCTGACACAATAGACGGATCACAGGATCTAAAGTCAGGAATACCTGGGCAAGTCACTTAAATTCTATTTGCCTCAACTGTAAAATGGGGATAATAATAGCACTTGTCTCCCAGGGTGGTTGTGAGGATAAAATGAGATAGTATTTATTAAATGCTTTCTAAACCATAAAGTACAATATATCAGTTACTATTATTATTGCTATAATCAAAGACAACATTTCCTTAAAAGAATAGGTCCAAGAGTCAAGATATCTGAAACTGAATGCTGACTTTTTTACTAACTAGCTGTGTAACCTTGAGCAATTCAGTTTCCTTCTCTGGGCCTCAGTTTCTTCATCTGTAAAATGGGAAGAGTAAGACTCATAATATCTATTTCATCATGTTGTTTTCTTTTTAATTTATTTTCAATTCATGGGAAAAAAAACAGGGATTTCTATAACACAGTACAATAAAAAAGATGATTGCATATGGAACTGCAAATCTACCATATACAAATTGCTATTCCCTCCAAATATACAACAAAGTTTTCATTTAAATTTCTTGTTTTCTTTTTTTCCCTTTGCCCCTCCAGATGAATACCATTAGACACAAATACACATATGTATGTGTGTGTGTGTGTAAATATATATATATATATATATATATATATATATATATATATTATATATACAAAATTGTATACATATTTTGGTTTATCCATTCTTTCTCTGGATACAGATAGCATCTTTCTTCATCATTTCTTAATTTATGTACTTATAATAGTCAAAATGACTTAGTCACTCAAAGTTGTTCTTAAAACAATATTTCTGTTACTGTATACAATGTTCTCTTGGTTCTGCTCACTTCATTCTTCATCATTTCAGGAAAGTTTTCCATACCTTCTAAGATTATTGAGCTCATCCTTCTTATAACACAGTATTACTCCATTACAACCATATACCATAACATATTCACCCATTCCTTAATTCATAGAGATCCCTGCAATTTCCAGTTCTTTGCCACCACAAAGAGAAATGCTATAAACATTCATTCACATTCAATGTTATAATTACTATTTGTGAATTTTTCTCTATCTTATTTTTACTCTGTTTTCTTTTTCAGCCTCTCTTTTACCCTATCCCTGTTACCTTATCTTCTCCCTCCCCCACCTCCCACCCCCGTTCACCCAATTTCATTAAAAACATCTCATTAAAACATTTCATTAGAAATATCTCATTCAGAAAAAAAAAACGACTGATCTGGAAAACAGATTGAGGAGAGAAAATTTAAGAATTTTCTGACTACCTGAAAGTTACAATAAAAAAGAAGAATCTGGATACAACATTGTAAGAAATTATTAAGAAAAATTGCCATGAAGTTCTAGAACAAAACATTAAAATAGAAATAGAAAAAAAATTTACACTGTTCACAACTTGAAGAGATCCCAAAAAGAAAACTTACAGGAATATCATAGTCAAGTTTCCAAACTCCCAGGTTAAGAAAAAATTATTGCAAGCAACAAGGAAAAAATAGCAACTTAAATACTGCAGAAATATAGTCAAGATTTCATAAGACCTAGCAGCTTCTATACTAAAAGACCATAGTTCTTGGAACATTATATTTTGAAGAGCAAAAGAGTTGGGGCTACGTCCAAGAATAACTTACCTATCAAATTTGAGTATAATCCTGAATGAAAAAAAATGGATATTTGATGAACTGAAAAACTTTCAGGTATTTGTAACAAAAAGACCAGAACTCAATGGCAAATCTGACATAAAAGATCCAGAAGAAATATTAAAACATTAAAGATTAATTATAAGGCACTCATTAAGATCAAACTGTTTACTTATTAAATTTGTGAAAATGTTTTCAGTATTCTTAAAACTGTTGTCATTACTAAGGTAGTTTGAAAAAAAGGTTGGGGCTGAGTATGTATGATAAACTGATTCTAAAAAACAAAACTGAGTAGGAAAAGGTAAAAGGGAGCAAATATATTATAAAAATGGGTGTGAAAGAGAGAACAATACAGAGGAAGCAGGTGGGGGTAGATGGCTGGTAATGTTGGAACTTCACTGTCATCTAGGTTGAAGAGGAAACAGCATGTACATCTAGAAGGGTGCAGAAGACTTCTGAAAACATAGAGGTGAGCAAAGTGGAAAGGTTGGAGAGGGACTTTTAGAGGAGTGTGGGGATTGGGATTTGGGAGGGTAAGGGGAGGGCATGGGGGGACTTTTGGAGGATTGTGTGGATTGAGACTGGGGGGATAGGGGAGAGGATGGGGAGGACATTATATTGTTTTATTGGTGGGAAAGCATTTTGAAAATCTACGAGCTAAAATAGAAATTAAAACTATTATCATTATTACATGCAAATCCTCCCTGGGATATTTTAATTTTAATTGGGTAATCCTTGAGGCCTTTGAGACAGAAAAGCATTTAAGCCTAAGATATAGGCTTATATGGTGAAATGACAGAAAATTAGATTGACATTTTGCCTCATCAATCATTTCACATATATCAGAACCTTGGCAGAGGCAAAAACAAACCACATAGGGTGGTGACCAGTAATCCAAGCAGATCTATAAGGTTGATTGAAGCCTAGATGTCAGAACCTGGGAGGGGAGCCAGAATCCAACTGCAGGAGAAACAGGTATTCAGAGACATAATGCAGAAAGGAGGCCTCAGACTGGAGAGGGGGTCTTCAGATGATGAGTGTGGGGGTGGGAATAGGGAGGTGATATTGAATGGGAGTGGAGGGGGACCATAGAAGAAACATAAGTATCATTTGCCAAAAGTCCAAATCAAATCCAAAATCTAGGGAGGAAAAGATGGGAGTAACATTTTCATCATTTGTCAAAAGTCCAAAACGGGTCCATTTTCCAAGGTGGCTATCCACTAGGGGAGAGGTAACAGGTCAGGTAATTGGTGGTGTCCAAGAAGCAAGCTGTCATTGGCAATCCAGACAGGCAAGTGGTCAGCATCAGGGAGGTCCAGTGGTGGGTACAGGGGATTCAATCTAGAGTTGATAAAAAATTTAGAGGCAGGTAATTGAGCTTCCTTGGGAACGAAGGTACCAGGAAAATTCAGTCACAGAGAAAGACAGTAGGAAACCAGCTAGAGACAGAATGGCAAAGAAATAACAATTCCTGATGTCAGAAAAGCTCAGCTAGAACTTATATCTGCTATTTACTAGTTGTGTGATCATAGACAAGAAAATTAAACTCAATTTCTTCATCTGTAAAATGGTGATAAGAAAACCTGTACAACTTTTCACCTAAAATGATAGAATTATATATTTAGGGCTTAAAGGGGGACTTAGTGTTATTGTGAAGAAAGTCACTTTGTACATTTTAAAAGACTGTAGAAATGTGACTTGAGCATCATCATCGCCCTCATCATTATTGTCTTGTGACTTTATGAAAATAACTCACCTTCTCTGAGCCCCAAGTTTCCTCCTCTGTAAAATGAGAACTTTGAAGCTGATTGTTTCACAAGTCCCTGCAACTTTATCTTCTATGTTGCTTGCTACTCGCCCCCCCCCCCATATTCATGAGAATTCTGACTCAGGGAAGGGTAGATGTAAGAGAGGGAGGGAAATTCCCATGATCTTCCACAAGGAAGACCTTGACCTTGTACTCTTCTTCCCCTCAAGTCTCATATCCTTCCCCTTGTCCTTTTAGCCTCCATCACAGCAGAGATTTGCATTTCTTTCTTTCTCCTTTCTTTCTTTTTTTTTTTCTTTTTTTGGCCTATTTGCCGCCATCCTGACACAGCTGTTTCCTGGTCAGGAGGCAACGGAGGTGAGCAAGAGCTGTCTGTTCACAGCTGAGACTCATATGGAAGAATGGGGGGGTGAGGGGTGATTACACTATGCACATCCTAACCTAAAAGCCCTTAGGCACGTTCAACTTAATAAGCACGACACATTATAAAGGAAAGCACTGTGTACATTCAAACCCTCTTTCATCAAACCCTTGATCTTTTATCTATGAGGCTTGGATTGTTCTCATGTTTTCTTTAGACTAGTAATACCTACTGCCTGCATCTTAATGACTGCTTGTGGACTATATCTGCTGTGGGCCGGGTCTAGGAGCAGGAGTAGAATAAGAGCAAAGTTTGAAGCAGATTTAGGCTTCTTCTTCAGAAACACTTCCTAGCAATTAGAGCTATTAAAAAAAAAAGTTCTCATTGCATTAGGAGGTAGTGAGCTTCCCATCACTTGAGATCCTCACCAAAGGGCAAATGACTACTTGTTCCAGGCAAATCTAGATTGTGTTATAGCACTGTGAAAACTTAAATAGAAATCAAAGCCACTAATAAAGATCCCTACTGGTCAAAATTGACTTAATTCTAAAATGTTTTATTGGTTTTTTTAAATTTATTTGTTAATTATTTTCTAATTAGAGTTTAATTTGGTTCAAGGCATTGAGAGTGTTGCAGGTCAAATGTCTGATACCTCTGGATTAACTAACCCATGTAATCCACTTCACATCTTTGGTTACTTAGACATTGTGTTTGCTAATCTAGTTAACTAGCCTTACTATCTTATCCAATCCAACCTAGCCTTTGGCTTCCTACCAGTTCACTGTATGGGTGCCCCCTGCTAGCCCCCAGTGGCCTTGAGCCTACTAGACCCCAGCCAGCTTCTTGTGACCTTCAGCCCCAATAGACCTCACCTACCTCTGAAGTTCCCATCCAGACCAACCAGAGGCCCTTTGTAGGGAGGTACAAGTGAAAATAGAATACTCACAATTGAAAAGAAGGCACCGAAAATTGAGAAATGCTATGCATGAACGGGTTCTTGTGGAGCCAGAAAGGGGTCACACACACTTGTGCTAGACCTCGGGGGAGATGGAGAAACATCAGCCTTGTACCTCAAGCAGTTCATAGTCTAGTGGGAGAGCCAAGACAAACACATCAAAAGCAACTGCATAGCAGTTGTAAAGGTACTTAAGAGCAAGTCACAGGAGATTCATAAAAAATCTTATGTTTTCAGGGACTTGGGGAATAAAGTAACCTCTCATGGAGATTTCTTAAAGGAAGGAAGTTGGCTAAGCTGTACTACAACTTCCTAGGAGGCAGGTAATATTGTTTTTGTTTGTTTTCTTTTTAATTCAGTTTTTAACAAACCCAAGGGCACAATGTCCTTGGGCTATAAACACTTAAGCTTGTTCAGCTTCACATTTCTCTTCCTTAAAATGAAGGTATTGGATTAGATGACTTCCAAGTTGCCTTCTAGCTGTAGATCCTAGTGTGTTTTTGAGAGTCAAATAATATTGTTTTGTGATTTTAGTTACTTGGGTTAAGTTAATTAAATAGTGAAGTAGTTAGTTATATTAGTTAAGTAGTTAATCAAGGCTGTGTAATCAATCACCAAATCATAGAACAGTCCAGGTAGAAGGGATCTTGCACCATCAGCTGCCAATCCTGAAATGCCCTCCTCCTCCTCCACCTCTTGCAAAACCTATCTCCATTTAAGGCTCACTTCAAGTACCACCTAGTACAAAAGGCCTTTCCTGAGCCTTGCTTGGAAGCTGTCAGCAGATACCCCTTCCCAATTACCACATATTCTGTACTTATATATGTATACATGTTATTTCCCTCCAGTAGAAGAGAGACAGTAAGTTACTTGAGGTCAGGGATAATTTCATTGTTGTCTTTAGATCCCCAGCATCTAGTGCAATTCCTGATATGCAGTAGGTACTTAATAAAGTCTTCTTGAAATGCACTGGAGCCTACACCCTGTAGGAAGTGTCAAGTCTCCTGGGGGTAAAGCCAGAAAAATTCTATCTAGAGGTAATGGCATGCCTATGCGGTTAGCACCAGGTCTACCTCCTAGTCTGTAGTTCTTTTATTCTATCATATGGCCTGTTTTTCATATCAAGAAGCATCAGTGAAGTACTTGGCACAAGTCCAGCCATGTGTTGGCTACTCTATCAAAAAATAAAAGAAGTAGAAGTAGTCCTTAACCTCAAGAAACTTTTAAGGAGACATAACGTAAAGCCAGTAACAGTCACTTTCCTGACTTCCTTTCCTCAGTCTGGAAAATGTGGGCTCTCAGTGCCCATTATCTCAGATTCTTAGCAATAATAGGAATAACAATAATAAATCTTATTTAAGTGTAAGCATCAGAGCCATAATAAAGAACAGGCAAGTGAGATACATGCCTCCCTCAAGCACACAAAGCCAAAGGGTATATTTACACAAATAAAAATTATATATATATATATATATACTCATCTCCATTTCCATCTCTATCTCTCTCTAATCTAGATCTAGATATAGAGACAGATGTGTACACACATATATATGCACAACTACATACACATGCAAATATAAGCCAATGTAAACATGTGTGTGCATATGCATTTATGCTTACTGAAAATATATATAGATGCACACAATGCATATGTGTGTACACATGCATGTGTAGATGTATATTATGTGTGTATGTAAGTATATGACAGGGCAGCACAGTGGGTAGAACACTGGTCCTGGAGTCAAGAAGACTTGAGTTCAGATTCAGACTTAGACATTTATTAACTGTGTGACCCTGGGCAAGTCACTTCACCCTGTTTGTCTTAGTTTCCTCATCTGTAAAATGAGCCAGAGAAGGAAATGGCAAACCACTCCAGTGTCTTTGCCAAGAAAACCCCAAAACAGGTCATGAAGAGTCAGACACAGCTGAACAACAATAATAAAATCATTGTCATTTAACCATGTTGTTATGCCAGTCATGCCATGATATTAGAATGGGAGGGGGAAAAGGTAATTTTGTATGCTTGCAACAAGTACAATGTTAGTTTTATGTGATTCTTAGGATCATATAATCCCAGGGTTTAGGGCTAGGATGGACCTTGGGATCAGCCCTCTGGTTCAGCCCCCTCATTTTAAAGAAGAAGAAACAGAGGCCTATGGAAATACAGAGACTTGTACAGTCCTCATTAAAACCATGTGATCGACGGAGGACAACTAGCCTTATGCTCTCTATGCAGGTAAGGAATGTGAAACTCGGGAAGCTTGTAAGTGTTGGAACTGGACCTCAAACTCAGGTGTTCTGATTCTAAGTCCATTGTTTGTTTCATATGAAAGCTTCATCATAAGACTTGTGCTGCTTAGGTCACTTAATTGGACAATACGGTAGACTGGTTTACCTGTAACAACAGCATAGAGGTATAAGCGATGCTTTTCAAAGAAACTCCACTGCCCCAGAGATAAAGACAGGGAAACCCTATCCAGAGCCAGTTGTGTGTCCCATGTCATTAGATCACACAGACTCACACATAGGGTTGGAGCAGGGTAGGATATCAGGGAACTGTAAGAGAAGAAGTCAATAAAAGAGACAGTCAGATTTCCTTAGCAGCACCAGATCAACTTATCTTAGGGTAGACCAACCATATAAGATAGCCCAATCAACTGGGTGTACATAAGAGACAGCAAATGGTGATGAGATATTATTCTCTTTAATGTTTATATGTAGATCTCATGGCTTTATGGAAGTTGCTGTCACCAATGGTCACCACAATTGATCAACAATTATCTTGAGCTAGTGGCAATCCCTGAGACTTGTGCTTCCCTCAAAAGTTTTCATCCATGGAGTTAACTAGGGTAAGATAATTAGGGCTTTTCTCCATGACATTAGGCTTAAAGCAAGTAACACCGACACTTTATATCAATATTCTGAGGTGTACTAGCCGTGTACTGTCATTTTAAGGCCTTACCTTTCTCAGAATTACTGGGCCAAACATAGTTTAGTGCTAAAATGCAAGGTGATTATAATGGATTCCATTTTTATAATGCTCTAGAATTCAGAAAGATGTCATATGTAGGCCTTTACCCCCAATTACCAGCCTAGCTAAGTATGGAGAGCTTATCAACAGAGGGTGGGCCTTAAGGTAAGGCAAGTTGAAGAGATCACAGCAATTTATACAGATGGTCTACTAAGATCTAGAAACGTTGAGATTTGCATGGGTACTAAAAATAGTACCCATACCTTTTAAGCCATAGAACTTCAGAAACACTTATTGCTGTCATTGAATTTTTTTTTTCAAAAATTATCTCATTGTAGACTTATAACATCCTCTTAAGGAGGTAGGGCAAGAATTACCAATCCCATTAAACAGAGTAGAAAACTGAGGCTCATACAAGTGAAGTGACTTCTCCAGTGTTAACCATCTTGTAGGTGGCAAAGTTAGAAGTCAAAACCAAGTCCTTCAATTCCATATAAAATCTTATTTTTATTATGTCATAGCTGTTGAAGGGGCTCAAGAAAGTCATGAATGAGAGTTGAGTAGAATGGTCAACATTGTTGACCTGTTGCACTTTCCCATCCCATACAGCCATCCACAAGGATGTTTTACAATTTTCCTGGTGTTACCATCCTGCCTTTCCCCAACTGGCCCCACACCCTCCCACACTAGACCTACTGACCTGTATCTCTAGTCCCTAGGCAAATTATTCCACTGATCAATAGAAGTCCAACCCTTGTGGCCAACTTGACTGGAAACTTAGTGAGCACCAATTAGCCAGCACAGTCCACTACATCTCTATTATAGCTGACCCTATATTCCGAAGTATGCTTCAAGTTTGGATCGTCTCATGCAGCTATTGACCAAGTCCATTTTGTACAACTGTATGTACTTTTTGAAGTCCCCCATCCCAATATCCCACCTCTTGCACTGAGGACAATAATCAGATTAACAGCATTAACTAGAATTTTTTTTTAAATCACTGGTATTTATATAGTGCTTTAAGTTTGCAAAGTACTCTACAAATATTATATCATTTGATCACCCAAACAATCCTGGAAGCAGCTGTTATTATCCCTGCTTTATAGATGAGAAAACTGAAACAGATAAAGGTTAAGTGTCTTTCCCAGAATCAAATAGCTCGATCTGAACTCCAGTCTTTTTGACTCTAGGTCCATCTGTCTGACTTACTGTACCATCTAGTTAATATTGCTTCTGACAAGGGATGAGTCAATTGGATCCATACATCATATCCCTTTCATGGCCAGAACTCTTCTATGTCTGTTCTTATCCGCTGTGAGAATATAAGTTCTTTGAGGAAACTTTCTTTTTCTGTTTCTTCTTCCGTTTGTATTCCCAAAGCTTAGCACATCACTTGGCATATTGTTTTTTCATTCATTGTTAGAGGAAGGGAGATTAGTTAGGACTTGAAATATGTATAAGTTTTAATAGGCAAGAAGAAGGAGAGGAAAACAATCACAACTGAGTGATTTCTTTAATGTCTAAGGTCAGTCAAAAGTATCTAAACAACCAAGACTATTCCCAGTTCTTCCATCTCACTAATCTAGGCAAATAAACAGATCACTCATCTCCGACCTCTCCAAATGCAATGAAACCATTAGAGTGAACAGCTAGAGCACATGAACACAAAATGGTTCCATTCACCTGGGAGTATTCAGGGGGTGAAAAACAGTTTAGATGGAAATTTGATAAAATTGCATGAGAGGGGTCAGGAAATCACTTCTTTCTCTAGATGAAACCCAGTTGCTACCCCAGCCTCTTATTTTAAGGTCTGACCTCTTCTTATCCCTCAAAAGAGAAGTCCAGGAACCAGGGGTGGGACCTATGATGGATTTTATCCCCTACTTTGGATTTTTCAACTGGTTTATCAAAGGAATTAATCAGATGAATAAATGAAAAGAGAAAGTAAAAAGAAATCCCGCAAAAGAAATGAATTTCTTTATTTCACTACATATTAACTCCTGAATTAGAATAGCAAAGAAGACACAAAGCTATCATTCTTTGCAGATGATATGATGCTATACTTAAAGAATCCTAGAAAATAAAGTAAAAAACTACTTTAGCAGAGTCGCAGGATATAGAATAAACCCACATAAATCATCAGCATTTCTATATGTTACTAACAAAGCCCAACAGCAAGAGATAGAAAGAGAAATTCCATTTAAAATCAATGTAGACATCATAAAATATTTGGGAGTCTACTTGCTTAGACAAATCAATATGAACTATATGAACGCAATTACAAAACACTTTTCCTGCAAATAAAATCAGATCACAAAAAATATTAGTTGTCCATGGGTAGGCCAAGGTAATTTAATAAAAATGGCAATTCTACCTAAATTAATTTAATTATTCATGCCATACCAATCAAACTACCAAAATTATTTTACAGGACTTAAAAAAAAATAACAAAATTCATCTGGAAGAAAAAAAAATCCAGAATATGAAGGAAATCAGTGAAAAGAAATGCAAGGAAATGTGGCCTAGCCTTCCCAGATCTTAAACTGTGTTATAAAGCAGCTGTCATCAAAACTACTTGGTGCTGGCTAAGAAATAAGAGTGGTGGATCAGTGGAATACATTAGGTACACAAAACACAGCAGTCTATAACTACAGTAATCTACTGTTTCATAAACTCAAAAACTTTAGCTTCTGGGAGAAGAACTCACTATTTAACAAAAACTGCTGGGAAAACTGGAAAATAGTATGACAGAAAGTAGGCATAGACTGATATGCCAAGATAAAGTCAAAATGGGTACATGATTTAGATATAAAGGCTGATACTATAACAAATTAGGAGAGCAAGGAATAGTTTACTGTCAGATTTATGGAGAATGGAAGGATTTATGACCGAACAAGAGATAGAGAACATTATGAAATACAAAATGGATGATTTTGGTTACATTAAATTGAAAAGCTTTTGCACAAACAAAGCCAGTGCAATCAAGATTAGAAAGGAAGCAGAAAGGTGAGTAGTAATTTTTACAACCAATGTCTCTGATAAAGGCCTAGTTGCTAAATATAGAGAGAACTGAGTCAAATTTATGAGAATACAAGTCATTCCCCAACTGATAAATGGTCCAATGAGATGAACAGGAAGTTCTCAGATGAAGAAATTAAAGCCATCTATAGTCATATGAAAAATGCTCTCAATCACTACTGATTAGAGAAATGCAAATCAAAACAACTCTGAGGTACCACATCACACCTATCAGATTGGCCAACATGACAAAATAGGAAAATGATCAATGTTAGAGAAGATGTGGGCAAATTGGAACACTAATGCATTATTGGTGGATTTGTGAATTGATCCTACCTTTCTGGAGAGCAATTTGGAACCATGGCTAAAGGGCTATAAAACTGTGCATATCGTTTGACCCAACAATACCACTTTAAGTCTGTATCCCAAAGAGATAATACAAGTGGGAAAAGGACCCACATGCACAAAAATATTTATAGCAGCTCTTTTTGTGGTGGCCAAGAATTGTAAATTAAGAAGATGCTTATCAATTGGGGAATGGCTGAACAAGTTGTGGTATATGAATGGAATGTAATACTATTGTTCCATAAAAATGATGAGCTGATGGACTTCAGAAAAACCTGGATTTACATGAACTGATGCTGAGTTAAGTAAGCAGAACCAGGAGATCATTGTGTATGGTAATATCAACATTGTGCAATGACTAATTTGGATAGACTTAGCTCTTCTCAGCAGTGCAAGGATCTAAGAAAACTTCCAAACACTCATGATGGAAAATGCTATCCAAATCCAGAAAAAAGAACTATGGAGTTTGAATGTAAATTGAAGCTTGCCATTGATCTTTTTTGTTTGTTTGTTTCTACTTTCTCATGGTTCTTCTCATTGGTTCTAATTCTTCTTTACAACATGACTATTGTGAAAATATGTTTAATATGAATGTATGTGTAGAGCCTATATCAGATTGCACACTGTCTAGGGGAGAGGGAAGGAAAAGAGTGCAAAATAATTTAGAACTCAAAATCTTATGGAAGTGAATGTTGAATACTAAAAATTAATTAATTAATTAAAAACATATTAACTCCTAATTATACCATATGTTAAAGTTAAAAAAAAAAGAACTTTCCTCACAATGAGATTAAAGGTATAATTATCATAACAATGTTGAGGTAAAAAAAATCTTGATAATCAGAGGATTTCAGTGATTTACCTGGGGTCACACAGCTCATAAATGTCAGAGCCAGGCTTTACACCCAGGTCTGTTTCTCCTCTTCCACACTCTAGTGTTTGTCTAAGATTGTATTAATAAACTGCATGTTGTGTGTCTGTAATATCATTACAAAGGGGAAGGGAAGGGAATGAGCATTTATTAAGTATTTAATATTTGCCATGCACTGTGCTACATATTTTACAAATGTTAGGTCATTTGATTCTCACACCCACGTCCTTCTGTGATCCAGTGACACTGATCTCCTTGCTGTTCCTTACATAAAACACTGTCTGTAGACTCTGTCCTTTTTAAAAAAAAAAATATATTATTGGCTGCTACCTGTGCCTGGAACACTCTCTATCTTCATCTTTGCCTCCTGGTTTCCCCTGGCTTCCTTAAAGTATCATTTAAAAATTCCATCTTCTATGAAAAGCTTTTTCCTGAGCCCTTTCCCCCTTATTGATTATCTTTGACTCTCTAGGACAGTACATGACTGGTTTGTACATAATTGTTTTCATGTTGTCTCTCCCCACAAGCTGTGAGCTCCTTGATACCAGACACTGTCTTTTGTCTTTTTTTTTTTTTTTGTATCTCTGGTGGTTAGCAGAGTGCCTGGTACATAAGAGACACTTGATAAATGCTTATTGACTAACTGACTTACTGGCTGTATTTAAAGACCTTCCATGTTGACAGCCATTGAGACAGTGTATAATTTATTGTCATAGTCCTTGAAAACCAAGGTCCTTTACATTCTATAATGAAGAATCAGAGGAGGGGTTTAATGTGAATAATTATAATACAAAATAATTCTAAATATGTCCATGCCATATATGTGAAAAACAAAGTTCTCTGGGGAGGTCAAAGAAGGAAACATCATTATAGATAGGAGATATCAGAAGTATCATTAGAAAGTGAGGTATTTCAATGATTGGTAATTAAAGAGAATTGAGGTAGCATCCCTATAGTAGGTATGTGATGAGGTACAGGGCAGCTACAAGGCACATTAGATAGAGTGCTGGGCCTGGAGTCAGGGAGACCTGAGTTCAAATCTGGCCTCAGGCACTTACTAACTGTGTGACCCTGGGAAAGTCACTTTACTTTGTTTGCCTCAGTTTCCTCATCTGTAAAATTAACTGGAGAAGGAAATGGCGAATCACCTAGTATATTTGCTAAGAAAATCCCAAATTGGATCATGAAGAATAAGACATGACTGAAAGAACTGAACAACAAAAATGGTGTGGAATAAAGAATGGTTCCTGGCACCATTTCTCTCTTCATCAAAAAAAAAAAAATCCACCCCCAACCATTTGTTGTTTCATGGCTATCTGTTTCCTTTCTATAATTTGCATGATACCCTTGACTCATGAACTTTATACATTCTCATCTACAGGACTGCCCTGGATTTGCATGTCACCCTTTACGTACAGATTTTTTCTTCTTGCTTCACTCTGAATCAGCTTGAGTTTCACCATTGATTTCAACTCTCACTTCTGGAATATTTGCTTTCACTTTTTCCTTTACTGTAGATTCCCCTGTTTATCTGGCCCTAGTCTAGGTCACTTTACCTTGCCTTTAATCCCAAGGTTCCAGTGCAAAGTAATGATACACCGTTGATGGGATTCAATATGAGTTCTTCTCCTATAGAACTCTGATGACCCGGTGATCAGGAACATTCAGGTTATTGAGCTTAGTCCTCATTATTCCTTTGTTCTATGTATCACCTCAGGAAACCAAAACAGGTTAAAAATTACAAAATGCTTTTTTCTTAACATCCCAAAGTCCATTTTTTCTATCTCAGAATCAATGTAAAAGCCATAATTTGGCTTCCTATTATTACTAAGAAAAATAGGGGCATTAGCAGCTCTTTTGGGCTGTGAGTTGGTAATTTAATACATGGATGCATTATAATTTGTAGCATGTTTATCAAAATATAATGGCACATCAAAAATTGCCACCACTTGGAATATTTATTGTTTGGTTTTACTCTGGCCTTGTAATATTAGCAATAAATCTGAATTGCGCAGTATCACTTTCTTCAATTGATTAAGCTGAACTCATGGATGAAAATTAAATGTTGGTAATTATGTTTCATTGCTAATCCATAATAAGAAATTTATGTAAACTATACTTGCTTTTTTTTAAGCTTTAAATAGCACCACTGCTCAGAAAAAAAATCCAGAATTAAGCATAAACAACATTTGTGTATCTTCACATTTTTGACATTTTTGGTTTAAATCTATTATACTTACTGCCTATACATACCCAGAACAATAATGTCCAGAAGATTAATGGATGATAGATTTGACTGTTTCAGTCTACCACCAAGTGATCTCTACTAGGTTAAGATAGCTGTGTAAGTGTCAAAGAGTGGTCCAATCAACCTGTACTAAGTCAGACTTGGGATAATTAGTCCATGTATATATAATACTGCAGTTTATAAATGCTTTTTTTTCCCCAAAGCTTTGGCAGGTAGGTAGTGTGAATATCACCCCCATTTTAAAGAGAAGCAATGGGTCATACAAATACTTACCTATTTTCATGGATCTGTGATTTCATTAGTATGGCTAGGTACTCTTTTCCCCAGTGCAGAATGCTAGCCATCCAGATTTTCTCATCTATTTTATGAAATCGTTGCTCATCTTATTAAATTTGGCCCAACTTGCTTGCTTATCCTGACTCTTCCATCCAGAATATTTCTATCCCTTTCAGTCTTATATTAAGTGAAATTTGATAAGCACACCATCTCTCTTATTCTAAAAACTTAATAAAAAGCACTAAACAGCATGATGCCAAGCATAGATCACTAAGGCACTCGATTAGAGACTCAAGACCAATTTAATATCGCATTAATAATGAATACGATTTGATTGGAACTAAACAGTTGTACACCCACATATGCAGGCTCTTTTCTCACTTACATCACTCCACTTTTCCTACAAAAATGAAATAAAAAGAAGAAAATTGGGGGAAACAAGGAATTTTTTTTTCTCATCTAGTCCTGCCATATCTTTTCTGTTATTCTCAGGCTTTCAGAGATCACTGGTGATAGCTCAGCATTCACATCTGCCAATTCTTTCAGTACACAAAAATGTAATGCCTCTGAGCCTGGTGACTTCAGCCCATCAACAGCTGCTTAGCAATATTTTTCAATAATCTTATTTGAGTATTAACTGTCTTTAGTTATTTCTGTTCTCTCCATTTTAGTGTAAAGATTATTGTTATTTGGCTATCAAAGCAGGAATAAAATAAGAGAAAACTACCTTTTTCTCCATCACTGAACATCCCATCTACTGGGACTAGTTGTTTTTTTTTTCTCTTCTCTTTGGTTCTTCTTTTTCTCCAACTAAAAAGAAATCTCCTTTTTTGAAGGTATCAAGTGTTTTTGATAAGTGCAATTCATTTTGAACGTTAGTGCTCCTGACAGCGTTCTTAGAGATCTATGAACATGTTTGGATATTCATCCTCTTTTACCTGCTCTTTCTTCTATCCTCCCTATGTGTTTATTTTTCTTTTAATCTGAGGTGATAGTTCCTCTTGTCTCTTTAAATAACTCATTCTTTCCATACAAATTGGAATTATATCATCAAGAAGCATTCTCTTCTCTTTTACTCCTCATCTTATATCAGCAAGATTTCTTCTTCCACTATTTCCTCCTTCAACCATCTCACATGGAAGATAACCATTCTTCTTACCAAGGCAAACCCTTCTGCGTGGACAAATCACCCCATTCCTTCCCATATTCTCTAGCAGATTGCCTCTTCTGTCATCCCCACTCTTTCAAATATCTTCAATCTGTCCTTGTCAATCAGCTGCTTCCCTATCACTCATAAACATGTCTACTTCTCTGCCTTTCTAAGACAAATAAACAAATAAAAAAAGTTTCATTTTTTTTCTTTGACGTAAGAGCCTTAGATGTTTGCTATGTCATTCCTAGGATTTTGATTTTTGGAGATGTGTAGATATAGATATACTAAGATTAAAAAAAAACTAAGATAAAAAAAATCTTAATAGTTGAAGAAAGAATAATATATATATATATATATATATATACATATATATACACATATATGCATATATATATATATATATATATGTACACCTATATACTGGAATGGAAAACATGTATATATCTAACTATACTTATAACTATCTATCTCTTAGCTTTTCCTTCTATTTCTAATAGATCTGGATAATTTTTATTTATGATTTCTATAAGTGTGCTATTTATATTTTTATAAATATATTTATATACATATATTTATGCTTTTCAGAGAGTCCAATGATTCTTCAATTATCTGTGCCCTGTTTTCCACTTTAATTATTCAGATATTAGACATGTTATATTTTCTCCAATTTTTTTACATTCCTTTTAGTTCATCTAATATTTCCTGCTATTTCATAGGGTCATTAATTTTGTTTACTCTTCTGTAATTTTTTAGGAAATCTATTGTTTGGGTGAAGTTTGCCAATATCTTCTAATGAATTTATTCTCCTTCCAGTTATTTTCACCAGAGTTCAGTTGGAAGACCAAAATCAAGATGACTGGGGATGACCCAGGATGCAGTGAATGACCTTGGTGTCTTTGGCATCTGACCAAGCCCTAAGCAGTCAGCAGTGCCTGATTCAGCCACCTTCATGGCTGTTAGGAGAAATTGTTCTCAACCACCCATTCCACTGGGGGCAACAATTCCCTAATTCATCAGTGAGTTTGACTCCTGTTGGTTACCCTCAACCTGGTTTAACCTATCTGCCAAGATGGTTTAACCTATCTGCCAAGATAGTTTAACCAGGGTGTGGCCACTGCACATGCTGCATCTTCTTGGAGCCTTAGGTGAGAGTTGAGTGCCAGCTCGACATCAAAGGTGGATGAGAAGCCCTGAAAAGGCCTGGGCAAGCCCTGGCACCAGAGATGCTATCCTCCCTCAACACCTTATCTTAGCCACCACTGCACCCCAGTGCCTTCATGGTCCCCACTCTGGGCCTTTTTAATCTCCTTAGGCTTTCTCCAGGGATTCTTTGCTCTTCTTGCCACAGACACAAAGTCTTATAGGCTACGAGTATCTCTGGGCCTTCATCTGTCACTAGGAAAGGCTGGGTTTGTTTGTCTTCACTGACACTGCATTTACTGCCCCCTCCCTTCCTATTGTCATAGTCCTGGCTGACATTTTGTGCAGTAATGACATAAAATAATCCACTCATTTTATTTTCTCTTTACATTGCTAGGTCATTATTTGATCTGATGCAAATGTGATGTTTTTTGTTAGAATGAGTATTTTGGGAGCAGGGTGGTTCACCTTTACTTCTTCCATTTCCTTTAATCCCCTTACAATATAGTCATTGACCCTGTAATTCACTAACACTGCTTACTCTAAGGTCACCAGTGAGCAAATCCAATTGCCTTTCCTTGTCTATATCCCTCTTTGTTGACTCACAGAGAAGATCCACTTAAACAATTTATGATCTACTACCTTAAATGCAATTGACCAACTTTTCCTTTTGGGACACTGCCTCCTCCGAGGGTTCCCATGACATTGCTTTCTTCTGGTTTTCTTATCTGGAGAACAGCCTCTTCTGCGTTTCTTGTTTCACTCTTTTTTTTTTGGGGGGGGAACTAGGCAATGGGGTTAAGTGACTTGCCCAGGGTCACACAGCTAGTAAGTGTTATGTGTCTGAGGCTGGATTTGAACTCAGGTCCTCCTGAATCCAGGGCCAGTGCTCTATTCACTGCACCACCTAGCTGCCCCTATTTTCACTCTTTCACTCATGAGCCTTGTGATTTTGTGCAAGTCATTTCATCTCTGTGTGCATCAGGTCTACCATCTATCAAAGGGGAACAATAATACTTGAACTGACTAACTTACAGGTCTTTGGTAAGACAATAACTAAACTTGGAGTCGGAGGATATGAATTTGAAGCTTTGTATTTACTGACTGTATGATCTTAGTCAAGTCAATGAACTTCTCTTGGACTCAACTTCCTTTTGATAAAATTGGACTAGATGGTCAGAATGGTCCCTTCCAGCTCTATGTCTATGGTTCTTTAAAATTAAGAGTTACGTAAGTGAAAGCTAGATGTCATAGTTGTAATAGTGTTAGTAGCAGCAGCAGCAGCAGTAGCAGTACTAGTGAGGACAATAGTAGTAGTAGTAGTAGTAGTGGTGGTGGTGGTGGTGGTAGAGGTAGTAGTAGTGGCAGAAGCAATAGTAGGAAGAGGAAGAGGAGTAATAGTAGTAGTGGTAGTAGTAGTAGTAGTAATAGCAAAGTAGTAGTAGTAGTAGCAAAAAAGTTCTTAACCTTTTATTGTCATAGATCTCTTTGGCAGCCTAGTGAACTCTATTAACTCCTCAGAATTATGTTTTTTAATGTATAAAATATAATAATTTTAAATATTATACAATAATATATAATTATATATAAAATAATATATAAAATAATAATTTATAATAATTGTAAAATATAATGTATAGTATTACAAAGGAAACTAATTATGTTGAAATGGCCTCACTAAATACATATGTATATATGCCCATGTACACACTCACACATACACATGTATGCATAGATATGTATATTGTAATTACATATACGTGTGTGTGTGTGTGTGTGTGTGTGTGTGTGTGTTCATGTACTCCAGATTAAAAACCATTGACTTAGAGGAAGACATACAGTAGATGTAGTATGTAGAAGCCTTGATCATTCTTGGGGATGTCCACTCACAGTTAAGTGAAGTCCAGGTATATAGTATGAAGGGACCAACAGATTCTTGCAGTAGCCAGGTCCAATAGGAACTGAGGTTCAAGCTCTCCACAAGGAAGGGCATCCAAATTTTTAAGTATCTCATGGTGAAAGCAAATGACAGAGACCATTCTAGAGAGGAACTGAGGTTTTTGAGGGCAGGAGAAGTGTTGAGGAGCCAAACCAAATGCCCACCATGTAAATGCAAAGCAATAATGAAGCCTAAAACCATAGTCCAGAGGAGAACACCCAAGAGGAGGCTGAGATGCCCCAACAAAATCCAACATATTTCGGGGGTGTCATTTCTGTGTGTTTCACTGATTCTTGCTAAAAGTCCAACTGTGTGCACTGGGTCTGTTTTGCTTTATTTCCTTTATACCCAGCCCCTTTCAGCATTTTGCAGAGTTGGCATGACCCTGGAGCTTTAGCATAGACCATAGAGGTAGAAAGTGTAAATAGATATAGATATAGTTGTTCAAACAGATGTTGAGAGAGACATGAATTCATGCGGAAAGTTAGGTGTCTATGGTTCTTCAGAGGTGAGTGAAGGTGTTTCAGGGTTTGAGGTAGGAGCAGGGGATGATGTAAAGCTGTATGGAAAGAGACGTAAAAAGATAGATGGTATAGATTTAGATTTAGATTGTGATGTAGAAGTGGCTTGAGCTGGAATCCTAGATGTGTAAATAGGTGTAGCTGTAGAGGTAGCCACAGATGTACACTTAGGTATAGGTATAGGCTCAGATGTCAACATATGTGTACATTTAGGGGGAGATGTAGAGATAGGAGTATGTTTCTGCATAGGTATAGATATTGAAGTACCTACAGATTTACACTCAGGTATAGACATAGGTGTAGAGGTAGCTATGTTTTTAGATGATGCAGAGATAGGTGAATATTTTGAGTTTGAGATACCACTAGAGGAATAAGAACAGGGAGATGTAGATGTGGCTATCGGTAGATTAGATTTTGAGTAGATTATAGATGTTGAGGTAGCCACAGAGGTAAGATGAGAAGAATCCTTAGGGAAAAGTACACAGTGAAATTTAGATGTGGATTTAGAGGATGTTGAGGTAGGAGGAGATTTGGGGCTAAGTGTAGATGTCGAAGTAGAGCTAGTGATACAATTAGAGGAATTCCCAAGGGATAATGCACAGGTAGATGTACCTGTGGATATTAGAGGGGGATTTAGGACTAAAGGATGATGTTGAGGTAGAGTTACAGACACAATTAGGAGGATAATCAGGGAGTAAAGCACAGATAGACATAGCTTTGGATATAGGAGGAGATTTGGAGCTAAGAGTAGAGGTCGAGGTAGAGTTACAGTTACAGTTAGAGGGATAATCCTTGAGTAAGGCACAGGTAGATGTAGATTTGGATGTAGGAGGAGATTTGGGGCTAAGAGTTGAGGTTGAAGTAGAGTTACAGACACAATTAGAGGGATAACCAGAAAGTAAGGCACAGGTAGATGTAGCTTTGGATGTAGGAGGAGACTTGGGACTAAGGGATGATGTCGAGGTGGAGTTACAGATACAGTTAGAGGGATAATCCTTGAGTAAGGCACAGGTAAATGTACCTTTGGATATAGGAGGAGATTCGGGGCTAAGTGTGGAGGTTGAGGTGGAGTTACAGATACAGTTAGAGGGATAATTAGGGAGTAAGGCAGAGATAGATGTAGATTTGGGTGTAGGAGGAGATTTGGGGCTAAGGGTAGAGGTTGAGGTGGAGTTACAGATACAATTAGAGGAATAGCCAGGGAATAAGACACAAGAGGTAGCTCTGGATATAGTTGGATTCAATTTGGGACTAAGTGTAGAGGTCGAGGTAGAGCTACTGATACAGTTAGAGGAATTCCCAGGAGATAATACACTGGTAGATGTAGACCTAGATGTAGGTGGATTAGATTTGGGCAAGAGTGAAGATGTCGAGGTAGCAGCACAGGTACAATTAAAGGGAATCCCAGGGAAAAGTGGACAGGTGGATTTATGTGTAGTTGTCAAGGGTATAGAGATAGGATCCAATTTGGGAGAGAGTGTAGATGCTGAGGTAGAGCTACAGATCAAATTAGAGTGATCCTTATTAAGAAGTGCAGAATTAGATGGAATTGGAGATATAGGTGGAGTCGATTTGGGGCTAACTGGAGTTTCAGGTGTAAGTGGAGTTGTCAATGTAGGGGATGTACAAAGAGGAGTAGGTTTTGGGGTAGGTGCAGATGACATGGTATAGGTAGAGTTACAGTTAGAGGGATACCTACGGGTAGGTACACAAGTAAATGTCGATATACCTGTAGGTATAGGTACAGTGGCTGCACAGACAGGGGGATATTCTGAGATAGGTGTCAAGTTGGAGTGATATGAATTTTTAGAGATCAAGTTGCAGTGATATGAATATTTAGCAGTTGGTACAGGTGTTTCTGTAGTTGGGAATACAGGTGCAGATTTAGAGGCAGTTGGAGGGAGTTTAGTAACAGGCTTATATATGGGGATAGTTATAGAAGAAGAGGCAGGGGAAAGGTCTTGGGGAGACATAAGGGAAGTTATAGATGTGTGTGAAGACGTAGGATGCATAGAAGAAGAGATGAAGATAGTTCTAGGTTCAAGTGAAGAGAAAGAGTTAGACGGAGAAGTCAAAGGAGTCAGCATTTTGTTTGGATCCATGCTGATCTCAGGGCCCACTCTAAGAGTTGTTTTCTTGAATTAATCTTCAATATTACCAGATTCTCATGTCAGTTAGGTCTCCTCAGAAATGGAGTGTTGCAAATGTTCATTCCGGGTAATTAAGGTGTCACTCTATCGGTTCAAATCTCCATTACAATTTGGCTGAGTTGTGTTACAAAAAGAAATTGGGTGGCAGATAAAGAGTCAAGCCTGCTACTCCTTTGAAGAAAGAGAAGAAAAAGGCTTAGAACTTCGAGTGATGTCACAATCACACCACCCCATGACACAATTGAATGTGTATTCCCTTATCCACAGGGAGTAGCACTCAACATAAAGCATTTTTCCCCACAACACTTGCCCACTGTACAAATTAATAAAGTAAATAAGAGTCTTAAGAGAATATCTCTTCTAAAAAGCTAACAATTTTCTAGCCCACAAGAAGCAGTGGTATACAAACAACCAGCTGATGTGGTAACCAGAGATAAAGGCCCTCTGCTAGGGCCAGCCTTCCCTCTAAGATGGCCTTCTATTTACATGGTATATATTTTGTATGTCCATAGCTGTATCAAAGTTGTCTTTCCAATTAGAATGTGAGGGAGGGGGTGGAGCCAAGATGGCAGAGTAAAAGCAGCAACTTGCTTGAGCTCTCCCCTAAACCCCTTCAAATACCTGTAAAAATGGCTCTAAACAAATTCTAAGGCAGCTTAACCCACAAAAAACAGAGTGAAACAAATTTCCAGCCCAAGACAACCTGGATGAATGATCAGAAAGGTATATCTCACCAGGCTGGGAGCGCAGCGCAGCGTGGTGTGGGCACGCAGGCCTCAGTAAACTTGGAGCAGGCCTCAGAGGACTGAATCGTGGACATCTGTGGCGGTTTCCATACTCCTCAATCCACGAATGCCAAAAACAACTTAGAAGGTCAGTGGGAAAAGTCTGTTTCTGTGGTGCTGAGAGAGGAAGGCAGGGACTCAACTCCATTTCCCCAGAGCATGGCCCTGGGGTGGGCAGCTGCTTCCCAAGCTTCCAGCCCACAGACTGATTGGGAATCAAGTGGCTGATCAGAGGGGGATTGCAGGGATCACTCTACCGGTGCTGAGGCAGGAATCTCTTGCTTTGCCTATGCTTGGATCTCAGTCACAGTTCTGGACATGGGTCCTGGGGTGAGGAAGAGCGCTGGCACGGTGGAGCTTGTAGTGGCTGTGGACAGGAAACCTTCCTCACAGTTCCAGGGCAGAAAGGAGTGCTTGTGGTCGCGCTAATAGACCACAGCACAGGCCAGAAAAGGAGTAAACACCTAGCCCCTTATCATTCCACCTTGCAAGAACTGAAAATTTACAGGTCCCTACAAGTATTTCTGAAAACAGCTATATAAACCCCTGAAGCTTAGGACTGTACATTCTCCACATTGGAAGCAGACTCTTGCCTTAACAAAGAATTTAAAGCTCAAGTAATTGGCCGGGATCATGAGCAAGCAGCGCAAAAAGAGTCAGACTATATTATCTTACTTTGGTGACAAAGAAGATCAAAATATATAACCAGAAGAAGACAACAAAGTCACAGCTCCTACATCCAAAGCCTCCAAGAAAAATATGAATCCATCCGAGGCCTTGGAAGAGCTCAAAAGGGATTTTGAGAAGCAAGTAAGAGAAGTAGAGGAAAAACTGGGAAGAGAAATGAGAGTGATGCAAGAAAATCATGAAAAACAAGTCAACAGCTAGCTAAAGGAGACCCAAAAAGATACTGAAGAAAATAACACCTTAAAAAATAGCCTAGGGGGCAGCTAGGTGGTGCAGTGGATAGAGCACCAGCCCTGAATTCAGGAGGACCTGAGTTCAAATCCGGTCTCAGACACATAACACTTACTAGCTGTGTGACCCTGGGCAAGTCACTTAACCCCCATTGCCCAACCCAAAAACCACCCCAAAACAACAACAACAAAAAAATAGCCTAACCCCCAAATGGCAAAAGAGGTCAAAAAGCCAATGAGGAGAAGAATGCCCTAAAAAGAAAAATTGACCAAATAGAAAAGGAAGTCCAAAAGATTACTGAAGAAAATACTTCCTTAAAAATTAGAATAGAGCAATTGGAGGCTAGTAACTTTATGGGAAATCAAGACACTGTAAAACAAATCAAAAAGAATGAAAAAGTAGAAGAGAATGTGAAGTATCTCACTGGAAAAGCAACCTGCCTGGAAAATAGATCCAGGAGAGAGAATTTAAAAATTATTGGACAGCCTGAAAGCCATGATCAAAAAAAGAGCCTAGACATCATCTTTCAAGAAATTATCAAGGAAAACTCTCCTTATATAGTAGAACCAGAGGGCAAAATAGAAATTGAAAGAATCCATCAGTCTCCTCCTGAAAAAGATTCCAAAGGAACACTCCTGGGAATATTGTAGCCAAATTCCAGAGTTCCCAGGTCAAGGAGAAAATATTACAAGCTGTCAGAAAGAAACAATTCAAGTACTGTGGAAACACAATCAGGATAACACAAGATTTAGCAGCTTCTACATTAAAGGACCGCAGGGCATAGAATATAATATTCTGGAGGGCAAAGGAGATAGGATTACAACCAAGAATCACCTACCCAGCAAAACTGAGTACAGTCCTTCAGGGGAAAAAATGGTCATTCAGTGAAATAGAGGACTTTCAAGCATTCTTGATGAAAAGACCAGAGCTGAATAGAAAATTTGACTTTCAAATACAAGACTCAAGTGGAACATGAAGAGGTAAACAGGAAAGAGAAATCATAAGAGACTTGTTAAGGTTGAACTGTTCATATTCCTTCATGGAAAGATGATATTTGTAACTCATGAGACCTTTGTCAGTATTAGGGTAGTTGGAGGAAAAAAATTATATGTATGTAGATAGATAGATAGATAGATAGATAGATAGATAGATAGATAGATAGAGGGCACAGGGTGAGTTGAAAAGTAAGGGGTCATATCCAGAGAATAAAATGAAGAGATGAGAGAGGATTATATTTGGAGAAGAAGAAGGGGAGAGGTAGAATGGTATAAATTACCTCATAAAAAAAACACAGAAAAGAAAATGCTGTTACAGTGGAGGGGAAATGGGAGAAGGTGAGAGAGAATGAGTGAATCTTATTCTCATAGGATTTGGCTTGAGGAGGGAATAACATACACATTCAATTGGGCATGGAAATCTGTCTTACCCTATGGGAAAATAGGGGGAGAAGGGGACAGGAGAACACGGGGATGACAGAGAGGAGGGCAGATTGGGAAAGAGGGTTAATCAGAAGCAAATAATTCTGAAGAGGGACAGGGTCAAAAGAAAGAATAGAATAAATGGGAGGGCAGGATAGGATTATCAGTGTGAGTCAATTTGGCAACATCTCTTTTTTTTTTTAATTTGGTTCTTTACTGCTCACCCATTGCCAACATTCCTACCTCTTCTAAGCTTTTGCATCAGTATAAATGATTTGCTGTCAGCTTTATCATTCCAGAGCTAGATCCTACATCATCAGATCATAGATAAAAGGACAATTGAAAAAGACCTTGGAGGCTGGTGTCCCCATTTTACAGATGAAAAAGTTGCCGCCCAGTAAGGAAAAGTGACTTGAATTGTACAGGTAACAAGTAGATGAATCAGGATTCAAACCCAAGTCCTCTAACTCTAAACCCAAGGTTCTTTCTACTCTGACCCACTCTGTTTTTTGTTTGTTTTGTTTTGGTCTTCCTTAGTATCTCATCTCCCTGCGTAGTGGCTCCTATATACTGGCATCCCAGCCATGGTAAATAACCTCTGGGACTTAGATCTAAGGAATATAGTTAATTATAAAGTCAATACTTGAAACTTTCACTGCATGCTAGAAATTTTCACAGCTTGTGTCCTGCTAGCATAAATTTCAAGAAACGAGAGTCACCTCCATGCCTAAAAGAGACATCTAATTTAATCTAACTCATCAAGATGAGTTAAATACCTGATGTTTAATAGTTTATCTCTAGGTGGGATAAAGAACACTTTGGTTTCAGTAATAGGAATTTAAGAGATTTAAAACAAATATGAAAAAATTTGTTATGCCAAGATGCCTGAAGCATTCTGGACTATATTTGGTGTGCTTGTTTTGTTTCTTTGGTAGAGCCTAATGGATAAATCTTCTAATACTTTCTTTTGGCTGGATCCCAGCAAAGGAGAAGTCAGAATCACACAGTACTTGGGAGTAACAGTGCACCAAGTTAACTTGCTGGTTTTCTATAATTCTACTGAATCTGCTGATGTTGCAATTCTACTTGAAAACAAGAATTGTCTTAGCCATTTTTCCATTATAAAAGAAATCTTAAACATTAGAAGTGAGGTTTAATTATAAAAGAAACTACTAGTTAGTAAGATACAATTCTGAGGTATCGTGATTCCAGAATAAACTATTTGTTTAAATATTCCAAGAAACTCATCAGTAAATACTGTAATGCAGTAAACGCTGTACTTAACAAAGAATAGGTGACTTGAATATATGTAATTATTTTTGGAACTTGTCTAAGAACCAAATACCCCTGCAAAACAGATAGAGTCCACCTTGTACTATTTAAGTATTTTACTGTTTAATTTTATAGAAATTATTTTGCTGAATTCATGAATAGAATTTGATTTAAGAAGAAAAAAAATCAGAAGACTTATAATAAAAAGAACAGCAACAATAATACTGCGTATTGAAGTACTTTACGGTTTTACAAAGCCCGTTTCATTAGAACAAACTAAAGAGACATTTACCACTTTGATGAATATTAGCATGAATTCCAACACTCAGATTCTCTGATACTGTGAGTCTCTGAATGCATGATTGCCTTTTTAGCACATGTTGAATGACCCATGGCTTTGGTTATAGTGAGGGTCATTAGTTGGATAGGAGTAGTAACGGAAAGAAGGAAAAGCCCTATGAGGATGGATCTGGCAATACAAGGCGAAAGTTTGAGAGGACAGGACTTCTCAGTAGGCAAATGAAAGAAAGCAGGCATTCCAGCAAATCAATTCTTCGTAATTCTAACAATTTAGATTGACCTTACTGCTCAGGCCAGCATACACAATTCTTATGACCTCCTCCAATGTAAGAATAAAAGAATATTTTTTTTATAATCCCTCCCCTACTCAAAAAGTAAATTTGTAATTCTTTATTTAACCCTTGTTTTTATTAATATTAACATTACAGATGAGGAAACTGAAGCAAATAGGGTTAAGTGACTTGCCCAGGGTTACAC